ACCTGTCCGTCAGACACAAAGACCTGTCCGTCAGACACAAAGACCTGTCCGTCAGACACAAAGACCTGTCCGTCAGACACAAAGACCTGTCCGTCAGACACAAAGACCTGTCCGTTTAACACAAAGACCTGTCCTTCTAACACAAAGACCTGTCCGTCTAACACAAAGACCTGTCCGTCTAACACAAAGACCTGTCCGTCTAACACAAAGACCTGTCCGTCTAACACAAAGACCTGTCCGTCTAACACAAAGACCTGTCCGTCTAACACAAAGACCTGTCCGTCTAACACAAAGACCTGTCCGTCTAACACAAAGACCTGTCCGTCTAACACAAAGACCTGTCCGTCTAACACAAAGACCTGTCCGTCAGACAAAAAGACCTGCCCGTCAGACAAAAAGACCTGCCCGTCAGACAAAAAGACCTGCCCGTCAGACAAAAAGACCTGTCCGTCAGACAAAAAGACCTGTCCGTCAGACAAAAAGACCTGTCCGTTTAACACAAAGACCTGCCCGTCTAACACAAAGACCTGTCCGTCTAACACAAAGACCTGTCCGTCTAACACAAAGACCTGTCCGTCTAACACAAAGACCTAACCGTCTAACAATAAGACCTGTCAGTCAGACAAAAAGACCTGTCCATCAGACAAAAAGACCTGTCCGTCAGACAAAAAGACCTGTCCGTCAGACAAAAAGACCTGTCCGTCAGACAAAAAGACCTGTCCGTCAGACAATAAGACCTGTCCGTCTAACAATAAGACCTGTCCGTCTAACAATAAGACCTGTCCGTCAGACAAAAAGACCTGTCCGTCAGACAAAAAGACCTGTCCGTCAGACAAAAAGACCTGGCCTTCAGACAAAAAAACCTGTCCGTCAGACAAAAAGACCTGTCCGTCAGACAAAAAGACCTGTCCGTCAGAAAAAAACCTGNGTCTGCCAGAAAAAAGACCTGTCCGTCAGAAAAAGACCTGTCTGTCAGAAAAAGACCTGTCTGTCAGAAAAAGACCTGTCTGTCAGAAAAAGACCTGTCCGTCAACCAACATGTTACAGCTTTAGAAGGACAAAATAACATTATATTGAATTGTATTTATTTCTAATGAGGTGAGACAGCAGAGGACAGTGTCCTACACATGTCTATTCAAGTACTTTGTTATATTTTGTTAAATAAAAACAATAAATCAGTGTTTTTTTATCCACTATCAACTGCTCTGATTTCTAAAAAAATCTGCATTAACCAGAGGAAAACCTCTACTGGATTAAGTGGTTCCCACTATGTTACAGAGAGCAAACAGATTAACAGATTATATTTTAATCTCCGAGAGCATCACAGTCATGTTTGTCCTGTAGTTCTGTCTGCTTCATCAAACAGAACAAAAAGAAACAAACTTCAGTCAGAGGCTTAGATTCCAGTTATATTTAGTACTCAGTGACCTGTAAGGTCCAACATGTAACCGTTACCTAACAAGCYGGTCTTTATAAAGTATAAATACTTTTACTCAGAGGCGACTCGAGGATCAGTTCACATCAGTTAACAAAACTTAAGAAACAATGATTTTAATGCAGTTTTATAGACAAGATAACAAACGTGTGTACAACCAACTTATGACTAAAATTAATATTTAAATTTTAAAAATATAGGTGCTTCCTGGCAGTTTCACCAAGCTGCACTCAGCTGCTCCAGGCTTCTTTAAAGCCCACCCAAAAGAGTCAATCCCACCGTCCACACACTAAGAAACTCCCTGCAGAGACTGCAGAGACCCCCTTCTCTAAGTGGAGAACACAGATTAAAGGTGTCCATGATGACTCATCTGCAGGGGATGAAGGAGAAAAAAAACTGTTGGGAGTGAAATCCTCGGCCGACTCCCTCCTTGGCTGTTTCCCCACAGGACTGTACAAAACGCTGATTCAGCAGGTCGGTCCTGACAAAACAGTTTGTTTTATTGTTTAACAGTTTCCACAGAACAGAGATGTTTATTTCTTCTGGTTCTGTCGTATTTTAATTTTTTAAAAGAAACGGTGGGAGTTGGACTTTAAGGTCATCATCTGGTCCACCTGCTGTCTCCTGAGGAGGCCAGTCATGAAGACCTGGACCACCAGACTTAATCCAGCATCAATATGGACTCCTAATGGTCTTAAATGAGRGACAATAAAATGGACTTTATAGATAATTATCTTTTTACTGCTGTTATTCAGGTAATAATCAGTGTGACTCTACAGACATATTTATGAGACATCCTGCAGATTATTAAAGCTCTGCCGCAGTTCTCCTGTCTGTAACATGACATGTTTACGTCAGGATGCTAACAGCTCAGCTAACAGCTCAGCTAGCAGCTCAGCTAACAGCTCAGCTAACAGCTCAGCTAGCAGCTCGGCTTACAGCTCGGCTAACAGCTCGGCTAACAGCTCAGCTAACAGCTCGGTTAGCAGCTCAGCTAACAGCTCGGCTAGCAGCTCAGCTAACAGCTCAGCTAGCAGCTCAGCTAACAGCTCAGCTAGCAGCTCAGCTGGCAGCTCAGCTAACAGCTCAGCTAACAGCTCAGCTAACAGCTCAGCTAGCAGCTCAGCTAGCAGCTCGGCTAACAGCTGAGCTAACAGCTGAGCTAACAGCTCGGCTAGCAGCTCAGCTAACAGCTGAGCTAACAGCTCGGCTAGCAGCTCAGCTTACATCTTGTGATTTGTTTGCATCACAGTTAAAAATAACTCTGACTGATGTTGATTCTGCGGCTAAAAACCCCGGATGTCAGAGGATTTGTGTGCTAACACGACGTGATGTTGTGATATCTGCGTCACAAACTGCTTTGTTTCTCTGCGGCTTTAAAAGGCTTCAGACTAACCGAGTTAAAATCCTCCGGCCTGTTGTTTAATAAWGATAAAAATAAAAGTACTGACCCAGCTCGCCATGGAGCACAGACCCAGAACTGCTCCCATGATGGCTGTTCGTTCTTCTCAATCCTGATGTTTTTCTAGAAGATGGAAGCTGATCTGACCCACAACATTAAAAAAAAGATGGACGAGTGACTCCGCCTCTTCCTGTTGTTCGAAACGGGACCCGGAAGTGCCCGGTTAAAAGGGCGCCGTGCCAGTACCACCAGATATTAGAAATATAAACAAATTAAACTTTAATTATGGAAGAACAAATGTCATTACATTAGAAAGGATGATATGGTAAAAAACTATGAAGAAGGTGGTGCTAATGTCATTGATTTTAGCTCCATGAGTGGAGTTTTAAAACTTTAATTGGCTGAAATCTTTCTGTAATGCTCCACAATCTTTCTGGTTGATGTTAAGACTTATAACAAACTGATAAAAGCTACACCAACTCCTCTTAAGTCTATGATCAATGAAGATGTGCTT